TGGCAGCCAGCTGCTGCAGTGGGAGCCACAGGACTCCTGCCTTTCTGCCTCCCAGCACTTTTGTAATTGTGGCGTAACTCCAGATTAGTTTTTCCTTCCTCTTCTTTCTTGTCCTCTTTCTTTTCTCCCTTCTCTATGCAAAGTCAGCAATTCAAAAGTTCAAACTTCACCAGCAGTGAGGTTTGAGAGGCAGAAGTTGGAGATGGCTGAGAGCTGGAGGGAGGGGTCCCGGTGCCAAGCCCTGCCCAGGCCACTGCTCCTCGGTGGGGGCTGGATGGAAGGAAGGGGCAGAGGAAGTGTGACCTACCCCGTGTGACAGGAGAGGAGAAAACCAGCATGTGGCTTTTAGCAGTCCTACGCTGTTAAGCACAAATTTCATGTCTGCAGGGCTCTTGGAAAAGGGGCTTAAATGCCACAGGGATTGTGTCCAATTTTTGCATTTTATGGGCTCCAAAACCAGCCCTGAAGCAAACCTGATCACAATACAGCACCTATTGAGTTGAGGTCCTGGAGGAAGGGGCTCATGTTCTCATATTTTGCAGCTATGCAAGGTTCGGATGAATTCAGCTACAGAGAGACCCAGTTCTGAAGCTCAACTTCTTATCAACATCTTACACCTCAGAGACAATAAAGATCTTTAAAGGAAATTGTCAGAATATGGTGCCCATAAATCCAAGTTGTTCAACAATATGTGGAGCTTTTTTCTCTCTTGTCTCTGTTCAGATAAGAATTAGTTAACTAACACTGAAACTCACTCTGGCTTTTTAGATGATGCTGATGACTTGTTTCTCTCCCAGAAACCACCACATCCAGTAGCCAATTTCAACCACACCTGACAGCAATAAAGATCCCCAATCCGCTCCGCTTTGGCAAGACACGTGGAAAACAGGGAGCCAAGCAGAAGGGACTCTCGGTGCCCCTGCAGGGAGAAAGGCTGGGGCAGGGATTCACACATTGGAGACTGGAGTGCTGGGTCAGATAATCAGCATTGAGCCCACATTGTAGCCTCCAGGAACTCTGTCTCTTCCACTGCCACAGTTGCTTGAGAGTTGTGTTTCCTTTCCTTGCAGGCTACTGTGGAATCAAGGTGTTCCTCAGACACCTCAGTGGTCTGAACTGTGAGTGAAGCAGCTTTGCTTACAGCTCGCCCTTCCATTCAGATGTCTCACTGGCCACTAGGAAAAATGCTAATGACAAGAGTTGAACTCTCCTGAGTTTAAACTGGGATTGAACAAGTCTGATTAAATTTAGTTTTATAATTTTAGATCACACAGTATTTACAAAAAAAAAAGCAAAGATTTTTATCTCAATTCTATCAGTTGAGATAGCCACCAGTAAGGTAGGTTCTGCAATATTTTGGACTCAGTGCTGTTGAGCAGATGGTATTTATTGACAAACCTGCTGCTGAACTGTTTGCATTCCCAGGGCTGTAGGTGCAGTCAGCCCGAAGCATATTCACTACTCATTACTAAAATACTCATTTCCCTGGAAAACCATCTGTGTCATTCAGTCATGGCAGAAGCCCAGAAACATCCGTTCCCTCCACTAACACTACCCCCCAAGCACTATTTATGTGCATCCATGCCTGGACTGCAATTCCCTCATTACCTGCCCTACAGTAAACAGAGGGCAGCAAAATGAATGAGAGGTAAACTGCACATATAATTTCCAGCTTTCATCTTTACAAAAAGGAACTAAAACATAGGTGCAGGAAAGTGGCCAAGAGCAAGACTTGTTCCATTAGACTGAAGGGCAGTCTCTCCTACTAAGTAACAAGGGACAGGACAAGAGGAAATAGCCTCAAGTTGAGGCAAGATTTAGACTGGATATCAGGAAAAAATTCTTCACCAAAAGGGTTGTCAAGCATTGGAACATGCTGCCCAGGGCAGTGGTGAAGTCACTATCCCTTAAGGTATTTAGAAGATATGTAGAGTGGCACTTAGGGACATGGTTTAGTGGTGAACTTGGCAGTGCTGGCTTAGTGGTAGGACTTAATGATCTTAAAGGTCTTTCCAACCTAAATGATTCTGTGATTCTACCTGCAGTCATCCATGCTGTGCACAGGATGGCTTGAGCCCAGAGCAAGTCAATGTGCTGACTGAAGAGGGACATTTGAACTCATATTTGGACCTGACTACCACATCAAGTAAGGACAGAGTCATGGTAATGGGAAAAACTCAACCCATTTTATGTGAAATTTAGGCTTTCTAATATGGAATAAAATAAGTGAGTCGCTACTGGGGGAGGAGGTAGCACAGAATAGCCACTGTGCTTCAGCTCATACTCTCCTTTATTGCAAAACAGCTTCCCTGTTTAGACAGGCCCTAAGAGATGTAGACATATGTAATGTGTATTTAATCTTTCCATCTCTTCTTTTCTTACTGTTTTGATGTTTCCTCAGGCTTTGAAGATTCAAGATCTTTATTTCCCAGAAACTACAAGCCTTAAAACAAAAATAAGGCAGCTGGAAACTGCCTGCTGCCAGCCAGACTAAAGAGTTTGTAACTTTTTCCAGCACAGGAAATGTTCAATATTTTAATAGCAGTGACCATGTTTTAATGCATTTATGCCCTTAGGGCTATAGAAATCCTTCATTCACAACATTACCCACCCCAGTTCATAGGACCACTAATACTTGTTCAGTGTCATCATGCTTTTCAACGGTATTGAAAGAGACCCTGCTTGTCTTTGGTATCGGGGCAGACTGGAATGGAGTTAATTTTCCCCAAAACTGCCCTCATAGAAATGCACCCTGTAAGCCATGTAAACCCTGAAACACCATCCTAGGCCTTGACAGGCACATTTTGTGGTGACATGGTACCCCAGAAAGAATTGAATCTGACAATGAGACTCATTTCCAAAATAATCTCATGAACTCCTGGGCTAAGAAACACATCATTGAGTGGGTATATCACATCCCCTATCACCCATAATCATACTGAAAGACTGAGAGATGTGATGGACTGTTAAAGACTATGTTGACAGTGTTGGACAGTGGGGCATGGAAGAAGTGGGATATAAATTTAGCAGAAGCCACTTGGCTGGTTAACACCAGACTGGCTAAACCTCCTGGTCCTGCCCAAACAAAACCCCTATATACTGCGAAAGGAGAAAAGGTGCCCATAGTACACCTAGGGAACGTTTCCTGCTTTACTGCTTTTATACGTGTATTGCAATAGCAGATGGTTGGGTGTGTGTCTAGCCCACATATTTGTGGAGCATCTCACTTTAGGGATAATGTAAGCAATAGAGCTTTAATCAGTACCCTAAAATATGACTTGACTGTCAGAAGCTGCTAGATTCTTGTTTATTACACTCGTATTCAACAGCCTCCTTACTAGTCTTACTTTTTGTGGTTTTACTTCAAAGTTGTAACCTAAAATAACTATTGCTGTGTTCCATCTTTTATTTGTATGAGTGTTCACACTTACATTAATGTACTATAAATGCAGAAGTTAAAAAAATACTCTTCCGAGGAATGGCCTGGGAAGAGTGTTCTGACTGAGTAGTAGTGATGCTCAATTTTTTCCTCACTGTATAGGGTTTGGCTGGGATGGATTTAGTTTTCCCCATGGCAGCCCCCATAGGGCTGTGCTGGATATCAGTAGCTACAAAGGTGTTGAGAACCCACCAGTGGTTCGGCTACAGTTCGGTAGCAGGCTGGGGGTCAGTCTCTTCTCCCAAGTAAAAAGTGATAGCACAAGAAGAAACGGCCTCAAGTTGTGCCACGGGAGGTTTAGATTGCATATCAAGAAAAAAATTCTTCACCAAAAGGGTTGTCAAGCCCACGACCAGGCTCCACAGGGCAGTGGTGGAGTCACCATCCCTGGAGGGATTTAAAAGATGAGATGTAGATGTGGCGCTTGGAGACATGGCTGGGCTTAGCAGTGCCAGGTCGATGGTTGGACTCTATGAGCTTAGGGGTCTTTTCCAATCTAAATGATTCTCTAGTCCCATGAAACAGGCTCAGCAGAGGAGGTTGGGCTCTTTTTTCCCAAATGTCCCTTCTGCAATCAAAGTCTGCAAAAGTTTTCTGAGGAGCTTTTATTCTTTCTCCTCAACCTGCGAGGGAGTTTCCCTTCATGGGGTCCTTCCAGACTTCTGCCTCCCTGCAGACTGATGCTTCTGGGAACACTCATCCCACCAAAATCTAGTAGAACCTGGTCTACCAGAGGGTGTGCCTGCCCATGGCAGGGGGGTGGAACTAGGTGGTCTCCAAGGTCCCTTCCAACCCAGGCCGTTCTATAAGTCTGTGATGAAAATCTGATCTCAAGCCCCGTTCGATCATTCTCTCTGCCACCCCTCGACAGCCCAACCCCAGGCTTTGCGCTGGTGCTTCTCTCACTGCTGGACACGCCGTGACGACCGGGCAGATTTTATTTATAATGTCACACCCACACAGAGAACAAAGAGCTGTCACGCAACTCCGACAGGAGGTTGTTGCCAGGAGGGTTGGCAACCAATGACAGGCCAAGAGGACATAGTCTCAAGCTGTGCCAGTGGAAGTTTAGGCTGGGCATTAGGAGGAATTCCTTCACGGGAAGGGTGATTGGACATTGGAATGGGCTGCCCAGGGAGGTAGTGGAGTCACCGTCCCTGGAGGCATGTAAGGAAAGACTGGACGTGGCACTCAGTGTCATGGTCCGGTTGACACGGTGGTGTTCGGTCATAGGTCGGACTCGACGATCTCAGAGGCCTTTTCCGTGATTCTGGGGGAGGCGGGTCACGGAGCACCCGAGCTATACCTGGGGCGGGGGGGGCTGGTCCCCGCCGCCCGCGGGACACCTGAGGCCCGGCGGGAGGGGCGGTCCCGTTCCGGTCGGGCTCTGGCCCCACTCCCGCCGGATCCTGCCCCTCTCCTGCCCCCTCCGGCCCCTCTCCAGCCCCATTCCCGCCGGGCTCCGGCCCCGCTCAGGGGCGGCGGGGCGGGAGCGGGGCGGGCGCGCGGTCACCTGACGCCGCGGCCGCCGCCATTTTGTCTGTGAGCGCAAATGTGAAAGGGAAAGCCGGGGCGCACCCGCGGGAGGAGCAGCGGCAGCGCCGAGCGGCGCCGGGAGCCGGGGGAGCACCGCCGCCGGGAGCCGGGGGAGCACCGCCGCCGGGAACCAGGGGATCGCCACCGCCGCAGCGCGGAGCAGCGGGAAGAGCCCCTGTCGGCGCGGCCGAGAGGAGCCGCTGAGGCGGAGCCCGGCGAGCGCTCCCGCCGGAGGGAGCCGCCGGCGCCCTTCCCCCGGGAGGCTGCGCTCGCCCCCGGCCTTGCGGGGGAGCCGCCGCCCCGGCCTTGCGGGGGGACCGCGGGGGAGCCGCCGGCAGGGCCGCGGCGATGATGTCGGGGCAGTCGATCACCGACCGCATCACGGCGGCGCAGCACAGCGTGACCGGCTCGGCCGTGGCCAAGGCTGTGTGCAAGGCGACGACCCACGAGGTGATGGGCCCCAAGAAGAAGCACCTGGACTGTGAGTAGGACCCGGCGGCGGGGCCGGGGTCGGAGCTCCGGGGCGGCTTTGCTGCCCTGGGGCTGCGGGCGGGCGGGAGGCCAGAGCCGGCCGCTCGCACTTGGGGGGGGGTGTCGTGTAAATCTGGGTGGACCTGAGTACCGTGAGCTCCAGAACTTATTTTCCACGTGGAGGGAGTGAGGTTTGTAACGCCCTGTGGCGCCCGGGAAGCAAAAATATTCCAACCTCACGAGCTCTTCCCGGTGAGGGCTTCTTAGCTCGTGTGCTGTGGCTACAGTGGTGCTTGTTAATCCGGCACCTGGGGAAAAGGTGGATTTACTGCTGTGAGCCAGAATGCATTTTTTTTAGCACTGTTCTGTCCTTCTGTGCATCCGCTGGACTGCAGCCGGTTAAATATTTCTGTCGTTTCCCGAAATATCACAGCGTTTTGTCTTGCGGCTCGTGAAAGGAGGTAAAAAGATTAGGAGTGAAGGGAAGGGCGTAGGTGGACCAGTGGATTTCTCCTCGATAAGAGTATGTTGCCGCTGATATACTTTAATATGCTAAAACTCCCTTCTGTGTAACAAAAAGGTGCAGAAAGTTACCCTTGAAGTCTACAACAGTATCAGTGGTATCGCTTCGCTTCAGGTTTTAATAACGGGATATCAATCGCAGTTGCTGTTTGCTCAGAAGGGCAGTGAATGCTTCAAACCTTGCTCGTTGCGCAGCACACCTGTTCCCCAGCTAGTAAAAGTGAAATAAGTGTGTGTTTCCATTAGAGAGAGGGATAAAGGCGTAAAGGCTTTTGCCCGTTTCTTCAAAGGCTGGCAGGTAGTTTTGCAGCCCTCGTGCAAGTTGAAGGTACTAAAGGGAGTCTGCTGTTGAGGCTCTCTGAAGAAACACTGTAGGTTTTATATGGTTTGAGGGTAGTTCGGCTGTGTGACACTGTGACGCTCGTCTGTTCATACAGGCTTGTGCGAGACCATTCGATGTGGATCAAACAGTTAAAAATAACCAAATATATATTTCATTTGTTACTGATCTGAATGGGTGGGATCCAGCTACAGTAGTGAATATTGCAGCTACTGTGTTGAAATTAAAAGCTTTAAAACTGGGTAACTGACAATTTCTTTTTTAAAGACACCTTTTTGCATTACCTTGTTTTATCTTGTCTTGTGTTGTGCCTGTGGTAGAACAAGTTAATGAGGTAACCCTTGAGTCCAGAAATGGCAACATAACAGGAAGCCAGAAAGTGGTGACAGTTTGCTCAATAGTTTGAAAGCTTTTGAATCTTAAAAGAGGTAATGTGTTGTTTGAAAATATCCTTAAAATAATGTCATCTACCAAAAGTCACCCCCAAAAACAAGAAAATGGGAACGTGGAAAAATTCCTGAGAATAACATAAACTGAGATTGCTTTTTGACTAACAAGTTCCTCTGAATGTCTTTTGATCTAAACCTGTTTAGAGCTGTCACAGTCTCTCCTGAAGGTCCCCTTCTGTGATGAGTTCCATGTTCTGGTGTAATTTACTTGCTCAGACTTTGGTCTAAGACAAACAAAAATCTTCTTCTTGTGACTAGTGTCTGAAATACAGGAATGCTTTGGTGGGGTAGGGAAAAAAACATGTGAAATATGGTACCTCAAATATGTCTGTAAAGGGGTTAAAAAAAATTCCAATGAATATGCTCCAGTCTTCACTGAGCATATCCAGGCACTGCTTTTCAAACCTCTGCAACCCTTTGAGTGGCACTTCTTAATTTTTCACTTCTACACAAGACTTGCTTTTATTTAATGTGAGCAGGTAAATACTAAATACTGTCATCTCTGGAAAAATCAACACAATATATGTTTTCCAAGATACAGTGCAAGTACTTCCCAATTTAAGTAAATTATGGACAAAAATATAACTTGGATTTAATGTAAAATACTGGTAGTTGTATCCTGGTCACTACATGTGTGTGTCATTCAAAATGATACACCATCTGGTACTATTTGTAATTGCTACTCAGGAAAAAGCTTTAACAAGAACATTTTTTTGAGAGTTGCTATAGTTGTATCAGGGATTGTGGAGGGGTATCAGTTTGTGCACTCTGTTCAGATTAATTCTGAAAATCCCCTTATTGCCAAGTTTTCTCAGCAAGAAAAACTGTCGTATGACAACATAGGTTTTTACAGGAAAATGTTATATATGCAGTGTGTGAACTAGTATTTAAGAGTCTTGGGGTTTGTCTGACTACTGATTGCTGAGTAGCATAGTCATATTTTTCTTGAAGAGTGAAAAAACACCCACAAAAAACCCATCCCCAAAACCTAAGCAATGTCAATGGGAATACTTGGGGATTTACCTTTTAAAGTAGGTCACGGTGTCCTAAATAAGTCAGCAGATCTATTTCTGTAGTATTTTGTAATATTTTCGGATAATACAAAATGTCATATAGAGGCTGATCTTTCCTCTTAGTGGAGCACCTGAAGGTCTTGTCTCATCTTTCCCAGCGTGGGTTCTGTCACTGCCCTCAGCCTCCTGAGCCTGGTTTGCAGTGGAATGGGGCTGTTATGCTTTTGGAGACAAACCTCTTCTTGTCTAACTACTGAAGAGTCATAATAAAAAAAGGATAAATTAAAGCTGTAGCCAAGTTGGTAACTGGCAGAGTAGACTTGTGTGTAGACTGAAATTTAGAAAAATCCAAACCCGTAAATCAATTGCATCTTAAACTTTTAAATGAACACAGTAACAATGGAAAAAGCAACTCCTGCTTAACTTGTATACAGTCCACTTAAGAAGAGCAGGGAAGGGGAAAGTAGTTAATGTTACTCATTGAAATTTAACACTCCTATACATACACAAGCTTTGGAAATCTTGGTAGAAGTGGTAATTCAGGTATACAATTGTATTATTGAACAGAATTAGTCTCTTAAGCCTGTTGTTTTAGGAGAAGGGTGAAGTCTCCACCAAACCATCACAAACTATATATTTTGCCAATAATATCACATTATGACTCAGTTTGGGGTTGATTTTGTACCTGCCCATTCTCATTCTCCCTTTTGGCCGCCAAAGCTCTTGGCAGTCGGGTAAATGCTGAGGCAGTGTGGTTCTTGCAGAGGTGTGTAAACTGTGATACAGAACAAAGACATTTTCTTGAACTCTTTACACAGAGGAGTAGCTGTGTTTAATTTGAAGTTCTTTAGTAATCATTGAAGCTTTTCAGTACAATAATTGAGGAAATTTAACTTGAACAAAAAAAAGAGTTAATATCGTACGGATCTATCAATAGGGTTTATGTTTAGCTTTTTAAAGAAACTTTATGGGCTGTCTGTCCTGTATCCTTGTTTATTGGGGAAGTGGGACAGAATAGCTGAATTGCTTTCTTCTGGTGAAGTAACTGGAAGTTCAGATTTAGCTGTTATTACATAACTGAAACTTAAAGATTGATCTCAACTGTATATTAAAAGAGCACATGGGCATAAAAATATTTTTATCAGTCAGGTGCTATGTTTTAAGTCTTCCAGCAAGAATTGTTGGACTCCTTGGCTACATTGAGAAAGTTTGCTGAAGTGGCTCTGATGTTTTATCTTTTGGTAATGTGTCATCTATGGTGCAACTTTCAAAAAGGAAATGTATTTTTTTTCAAGACTGTGTGACGGAAGAAAGTGGTCTTAATTTTTACATCTGTCTTAGAGCAGTTTCTGTCCTGTGACAAAATGGAAGAAATACGTGAATATTAAACCATTATGGTTGCCTTTAAGCTATGTATTTAGAGTTCTCTTGAGGGAGATTCCTGACTCATATGACTTTCTTGAAAGTTGAATAGTCTGTCAGTTTTTGTTAATGCCTGACTGAGAATTTTCCAAAAACCTGTTATATGTATATTTTGGGTTGGGTTTCTTTTTTATATCTGGATTTTTGCATGCTGCTCTCTGAAGAGCTGTATAGTTTCACAGATGATGTGCCAGTATTTCAGATGAGCTGTGGAAGAGAAATCCTCAGTACTCTTCTAGGCAGTAAGATTTCCACAGCTCTTCCAGGCTGCTTGAAAACCCCTATGGTGCTCTTCTGCTTTAAAGCTGTTTGATTTTTTTTTTCTTTTTTCTTTTTTTTTTTTCCTTATGTGATGTTAACATGTTTCTAAATTCCATTCTAGAAATAGCACCACAGCTTCACTTGCAGTTGAAATGATTCCTCTGGGTAATTGGCAAAATGCTTTGAGTTGTGAAGTGTTTATATAAGTAGTGCGATAAGAAAATGAGCCTCACTCACCCTATGCATTTCAGTCCAGTTTTTGCTGCCAACATCCATATTACAGTTGCCCAGCTGTCAGTCCCTCAGGTGCATGTGTTCTCTTATACTCCCAGATGTATGGGTTTAATAGCCTTTTCCTCCTGTGCCACCAGCTGTAACAGATCCATGCAGTTGTTTCTGTGTAGTTATTCCTGTTGCAGGCTTAGAAAAATCATATTAGAGAAATGGCACTTGCTTTTCTTTTTATGGATCTCAATTGGTAGAATTGAAATGTGATGCCAGCTTTTTATTACTAGTTGTAAAATATTAATTTAAAAAAATTACCCTGAGTAGGCTTATTAAAGAGTCTTTTTAAACTTGTGCTTTTGCAACACACACTTTTGGCCTATAAGAGATTTTTTTTCCTTAGTTTAGTATTTTAGAGATGTTTTCTTTGTCTAAGCATGTGTTCTTCAGTGTTGGCAACTGTGGCTTATGTGTTTGTGTGTTGAAGGAGATTTTGGAATGAAAGATCAGGGTTGTTTGTGTTAAGTGCCATGGCTTCTTGTGGAAGTAAACTTGTGCTGGCAAGATAAGCCAAAGCTTTTTTTATGGATGTGGGGCTTAAGGAGAGGTCATCAGCTACAGCATTAGGTACAGGTGTGAACAGCAGGATTCCTGTCACATTGTGCCTGAACAGCACTGTAAGAACACTCGGTAGCAGTCCTAGACATACAAATGTGCAAGGGATCCCCCAGGTGTTCAGCATCATTTTAGGATCTGCTGGAATATCTGCTGGGAAACCTTAGGCAAGGTGAAGAGATTGAAATCTGTGTGGAGAGTGCTGGCAAAATAGGAATGAAAATAGCTTGGCTAACCTGACTGGAGAGTAGAAAGGGTTTGGGTTTTAACCTGGATCTTCCCTCCCAGTTTCAACTGTTATTTAATAAGCACACTTAATAGTGAAAAATCCTCAGTGAAAAATCTGACTTAGTGGTTGTGTGAAGGAAAAAGACTTTGTGCAGAAATAATATTTTCCATAGGCTGTCCATGTGGTCTTTGACCTGAGCAGATCAATGGAATTTCTTTAACTGTTACCTAGTGGTGTTATAGGTGTTGCTCTTTATAGAGTTTGGGGGATTCTTGTTGGTTGTTTTTTTGGTTGGTTGGTTTTTATAAACTGATAGTAGGACTTGTAACAGTCCTGTAACATTCTGTGCTGGTTACAGACACTTCAGGTACTGGTGCTTGCTTGGTATTTCCATGTCTGTCTGTTATTTTTGCTTATAAACTGATTGGGTTTAGGAAGACAAACTTGCCTTAATGTGTTTTGAGACAACTTAGAAATGTCATAACAAAGTTCTCATTCAGTGATGAGTGGAATTAAAATTTAAGATTTTTTTAAGTATAAATTATGGAATTGGAACTTTCTTCATTCTGTGAGGCAGTAATTGCCTGTGGACTGTTTGGACTTCTAGGTTAAAGTACTTTTTAAAATGACAGAGCATCTGATGATGATACAACCATGAGCAGTGTCTACCAAATGGCTTGTTTGTGAGAAACTTCACCTTTGTAAATGTTGAACTATTTTAACACTACTCAGCAATAAGATTTTGATGTATAGCTTGCTTAAAACTTCAGGGCTTTTGTTTTTGTGCAGTTATTTCAGCATTTTTGCGTGTTACTAATAAGGATGAAAGTTTTCATCCCAGCTGCGTGTTTTGTATATATTTGGAAGCCTTTGACATCAGAGTGAAATTAGTAACTTACTGTAATTTCCATTTTATAGCTTTCTACCTGAACAAGATAATATCTAAAATTCCTTACCCCGTTAAAATTACTCTGGTTATTAAATTATTTTAAACAGTGATCCTTAATCAAAGGACTTTTTGTTCCTAATAAACTGATCTTTAATTAAGATACACCTATAATATATTCTGTGCGTTAGAACAGATGTAAATTCTAAGTGTAATATTTCTATGAGGTATTTTGTCCTAAACTATCGATGTGTGAGCTCTAAGTTCACGTTTAAATTGCTTATGATAATGTAGTCTGTCCTCTACATGCTGCTTATAAGACAGAGCAGTTTCAGTGGTGCCATCACCTCGGAATTCAGTTGTTTCCCAGCTTCCCAGGCACCTGCCCTTCCTCAGGTCCTTATCCAGACAAGCCACACAAACAGCAATGGGCTCTGCTACCAACAGTCTGCTCACAGGCTTGGCTTAAAGGAGAGGCCACAAAGGAAGCTTTTCAAACCAGATGTTTGTTTTACTGGCCTTGCCCAGTCCTTAGGGTGTACTTTGATCACACCTGAGCCAAATTTAGTACAGAGAGAGAACATGTCTGATGTGCATGTCTTGAGGGGTTTAGAGCAGTCCTGGATTCAGTTCTTTGCTCCCTTCTCTGCAAGTACCTTCCCCAGCCTTCTCAGGCAGGTGCTTTCCCACGTGTCTGCTGGAGCCTGGTCCAGTTTTGTACCAGTACTCAAGCAGAGGCTTGAAGCTCTGTCTCTGACCTCCCAAGTTAATGTTCTACTGTCAAGTTTATTATCAGTCTTGGACACAAAGAGCTTTTTTGTACGAAAGCCTGGCACCTACCATGATTCACCACAAAATAGTCAGTAGGCTGGTGATTAGGTTTTTTTAGCTAAGTGGAAAGATGTGTAGATGCAAGTTCTTGCTCTTAATTCTTACAGAAAGGAGGCTTATTTTACAGGTTTGTAGCATCTCATTTGCTGTCATGTGTGTCAGTACTCAGGCTTATGTTGGAGTGGCAAAGTACTTACTGCCTGTTGGTCCCATGAGGTATAGATGTCTCAGCTTTTCCTTGCTTCTTGGATTTTCATTTTTTTTTTGGTTACATTGAGTGGCCTCAGACACTGAGCACCCAGAAAGTGTGCACTGGCTTTCAAACACTAATTTGGGCTCTGTTGGGTTTCTAATGGAACAAGTTATTTGTTGATGAAGTATTGGGACTCCATAAAATTACTGAAATGCCTTTCAAGTTCATACTTGGAGTCCTTCAGTAAAATGTAGTGAATTTGAGGAAGGAGTCTAAAAGACCTCAATTATTTCTTAAACAAAGAACTGAAGTTCATGCTTACAGTAAGAATTCTCAGTGTAAAAACACAAAATAATGTGTTGATCCTCTTTGAGCATGTAACTCATTATTATGCTTTTTTTCCCCTTTAATTTAGATCTAATACAGTGCACAAATGAAATGAATGTGAATATTCCACAGTTGGCAGACACACTCTTTGAGAGAACTGCAAACAGTAGCTGGGTTGTAGTGTTCAAAGCTCTAATTACAACACACCACCTCATGATGTATGGAAACGAGGTAAGACATGATTAGTTCTGTTAAGGTCTCCTTTATGGCTTTTAAAACATTGTCTCAGTCTGTAAGGCATTAGATGTGTATTTCAGTTTTCCAGGATCTTTGTTTTTTCCTCAGCTGGTGGCTGTAAAGTACTTGTAAAAAACAAAAATATATTCCTTCATTATTTCAATACCAAAATACATCAGTGTTTGCAATTTACCTGCAGGTATCTGGGTTGGGCTGTGAGGAAATAATGAGTGACCTTTGTAGGATAGACACTTGAAAGACTTCTGATGAGCTTTACTTCATTAGGGTAGTGCTTATCAGGAAGAGCACAGCAGAAGAGTCCTGTTAGCCCTCCATAAATGTGCAGCCAACCTTAAAACAGATAAGGAAGAATATGTACTAGAGGGGAGAGAAATATGATGACTGGAATATTTGATCCTGCAAGTCATCATCTGATGGGCTAAACCTTCAGATGTTGTTGCTGTTTACATTCCCCTGAAACATATTTCTACTGCGTTTGATTCACTTAAATTATTTCATCACAATTTATGAAATGCATCCCAGTCACTAACATGGCATTAGAAATGTAGCCTCTGTTGTACAATCCATACATTAAAAGCTAAACTTTGGTGAGATGACAGTCCTAAATCTGTGTGCAGTCATTGACCTAAGAAATGATTGCTGACTACCAGTAATATTGAAGTGATGACTCCTCAAGTGCCCACCAGCCATTAAACTGCTCTGAAAGCTTGGTCTTTGCCTCCTCTCTGCAATGCTCTGTGAACTGGATTGAAATGACCTGTAAAACATAGTGTGCTTTTCCTTAGCAGCTCCTCAGGTTATTTACCTGTTTAAGCTGTGTTTTCAACAGATAATAGACTGAAATAAGGAATATTGCAATGTAAAATTCACTGCTTGGAATTTACTACTTATTACAAGTATAAAGCTAAACTGAATGCTGTAAATCAGCTTGTTTATTCCCTCTTTTTCCAAGAGGGAATAAACTTTTTCCAGTTCATATCTACACAATGAAACTTGCAAGGAAGAAAACCAAACAAACCACAAACTGAACCACAGAAAAAATAAAAAATCAAAACTTTGAGTTGTGGGCCACCAGCCAGTATCTGTTTGCCCATACAGTGTTTTGTACTGGCAGAAGAGTTGAATTTTTATGTCTATACCAAATCTGCTCCTCATCTTTGAACAGGTGCATTTGGAATTTGAGAGAATTCCTTCATACCTGCTGAGATAACGTGGCTGGAGCATCAGTTCTGTAATTTCAGGTGGAACATGACTGTACTCCTCACTCTCCTAATACATTAAAAGAGGCTTTTTCTGAAGCAAATAAAAATTATCAGATGTTGGACTTCTATTTTAAGTAAAAGTAAACATAAGAGAGGATCAAAATGTTGCCAGAGCAATCACTGTCTTGCAGTTTCTTGTTCAATATAGCTGCCTGTTTCCTGAGATGAAGTTTTGGGTGAAACTCCTCTTGCCTGTGCATTTTGCAGCATAAGACCCCTGACATCTGAGTAGCTGAGAGTTAGCCTTGTCCCTTTTAAAATGAGATTCAGAACAGTAGCTAATTTTGAAATATATATGGATAGAAACCCTTTGAATATCACTGTTCTGTTCCTGATCACGTTGCTACTGTTTTGCTTGTATATCTCTGAATGCAGTAATAAGATGTACAGATAAGTCAACTGGAAAGCAGAATAAGAAAAAACAGAGCCTGAACTGTTGGTAGGCAAAGCCTACCTCTGGAGTTGCTGATGAGGTGGTATGTGACAAGCTGGGGAATCACTGGAAGGTTAAATTGATTTCAGTTTAAATAGTACCTGTGAGAAGGATTTGCTCGCTACTGTGCTAAGCCCTCTGTTACAGTTCCCAGGAGCAGGTGCTCTCCTGAGCCTCACTGAACACATGCTGCTTTACAGAGTACAACAGCCCCAGCCTGGCAGGAGGGTGGATTTCCACCATGGAGAGTGAAGGAACAGGCCCTGCATTCTGTGGCAGCAGAGCATTTCAGATCAAAGCAAGTCCCTTAAGCCATATTTATCATAATTCTCTTTTATGCACTAAAACACATACAAACAAGCAAGAAAGTCAAGAAATGAAAATCACAGGAGGTCTGTGTGTGACAGTGGCAGAGTAGCTTTTCAAACTACCTTGCTTACCTGGATGTGTTTGTCTCTTTTTTAATATTAGCCAGCTATTATTTGTCAAAACTTAAACGTTGTTTAGTCAGATCACTGCATTATATATAAAAGGATATGGTTATCACCCCATTGGTGCTGCTCACCACAGCTCAGAACCATTATTCTTATTCACTGCTTTTAAACTGTGTAATTAAGCCTGTCTTCTTCTACAGCAGCAGTAGAGTTGTGCAAACTTTGGGAGCTTGAATAATGCAAGTGGTATTTTTGTTTTGTGTTTTCCAGCTTGTCTGTTCTAAACTACAAGTTAATGAAGCAGCTTCCTCTAGGATTATTAGTGTTTTATTCACAGGCAGTGATGTCTTTATTAATTTAAATCTATACTTTTGCCAGATAGAGTTTTGGACTTCAGAGGCTTTGTTAGTGAGTGTTTTCAGGTTTTCCTCTAAATTTTTCCCTTTTAACCAAATTCTATTGTTGATAGAGGTTACAAGGTAAGTGTAGTTTTCTTGCTCAAGTGTTTTGACTCTCACAACAATTACATTCCCAACTTTTTTTCACCAACAGCGCTTTATCCAGTATCTTGCATCCCGGAATACTTTGTTCAACTTAAATAACTACCTGGACAAAAGTGCCATGCAGGGTAAGGATCTTTCACTGAAGGAAATAACTCCACTGCTTTTTTTCTCTGTGATAGTGCATGTGTAGGTGCACTCCAGGAGACAAATGACATTTAAATTGAAGGGTATTATGATTTGTATTGCATGAGACACTGTGCATGAGTTACCTGGGTGAGTGCTAGAAATTTTCTGTAATGTATGTAGCGTTGCACACACAGCTGTGAACTTTTAAAGGTGAACTCTTAAGGCTTATTAGAATAAACCTGATGAATTATCAGCACAATAATAACTTTTGCCATTGCATTTTAATGCTTCAGGGGTAAATGTTTACTGTTAAGGTGCATGGAATGGTAACCAGGATGTGTGGTATAAATAGTGAGAACTCCAAATCTCTAAGTCCTTTAAGTACTTGCTAATGGCAAAAAAACATTTTATAGTAAGCTGTGTTAGCAAGCTCTTCAGCATTTTACTAGGAATACATTTTTAGTTAATTTCAAGAACATCTTAACAAAAACTGCTGGGTTCTTTACTGATATTTTATACTTGGTTCTTGTCTAATATTTTAATGCGTTTAGGTGTTTATTCTCATAATTGCAACAAATGCTTTCCTAATCTTAGCAAGTTGGGAAGAAACTAACATCACATCTCAAGGTGAAAAACAGTCGATCTTGAGACTCTAGAAAGTGCCTATGAAGGGCTTTTTAAGCAAGTTGATGTAAAATGGGCTAGTAGGAGGATAGTTCTTGAAAAGAACTTAAAATGAACTGTACCTCTTTAAAATGTCTAACTTACAAATGCTTAACTTTTAGGCTATGATATGTCTACCTTCATTAGGCGATACAGCAGATACTTGAATGAAAAAGCACTTTCATATAGACTTGTAGCAGTTGACTTCACCAAAATGAAAAGAGGGTAAGACTGTTACTTCTTTTGTTAGATCTTTCCTCTTGCAGGGGCTGGAAGCCAGTTGTTCTTGAGCTTGTCATAGAAAGGTGTTCTTTTGACTCTTTGAAGCAATATTGTATTGCTGAAAGAGCATAATGTGCTGAGGTCTCTTTGTAACTTGTAAATCTGTGTCTTTTCCTCTGTAGGATAGATGGAGTGATGAGAACTATGAATCCTGAAAAGCTTCTGAAAACCCTTCCAATCATACAGAACCAGCTTGATGCACTCCTTGATTTTGATGCAAGTACTTTAAACTCAGTGTTAAGTAAAACTCTCTCATTTTGAAGTGAGAGTTTCATTATTTTTTTAAATACTAATTTACTTTCTCATTGCTTTCTACACAGGCAAATCCAAATGAACTAACAAATGGTGTTATAAATGCTGCCTTTATGCTCCTCTTTAAAGATTCCATTAGACTTTTTGCAGCATACAATGAAGGGATTATTAATCTTTTAGGTATGTGAGAATTTTTTTAGCTTTTGAACTTGTGAAGGTATTGAGAAAATTAAGGAATATACACAATTTCTGACTACCATTTCCTGATAAATTCTCTGCTCTATTACTGTTAAATTAAGCCTGTCTTAGTTTTAGTGGCAGGTAGCATAGGCTTAAGCATGCACTTCTACTTGGAAGAATAGATGTTGAAACAGAAACAGAGATGAGACAGTGACTGGTGAGAATGAAACAAGGATACCATAAATGTGCAGTGGATAACCTTTGCAGTTGGACTGTAAAAGTATAATGAGATATCTGGTATTCTGAGTATTTAAAATAGTCACAATATGACTGACTTCTGTTTTCCTGTACCTTCTTTATAGCTTGACTGTTCACCTTTTAACTGGTACCTGACTCTACATGAGCCAATTAGATGACAAGTAGGGTTTCTTGTAAAAGAGTGATAAGCTTTGAACAAAACCTTTTAATTACTATTTAATCAAATTTCTGATCAGTTTGTTCTGTTAATCCATTAGTTTTGACCGAGTGAAATATTCTTAAGTAAAGAGGGCAAAACCATAAAAAGTGAAGGATGTGTTTGATACTCCTTTTGGCAGGTCAGTTCAGGATATGTACTCACTTCAGTAGCCATTCTAATGCCTTTTGGATTTTAAGCCCATCTAGAGACATCAAAATGTATTGATACAGCATCTAAAAATATAAATATGTACCAGGAATGTTTTCAAATGCTAAAATAATTTGCCTCATTTCCAGCTAATAAGCTTTTTGAAAATATTCACCATAATACCTAATTTAACAATTTGCAGTGATTCAAATCCATGCTTAATAAAGCTTTGCATTATAGTCTAATACTCTGAAACAGAAAAATCAGTGTTTTTGTGTTGACTGACTTATCACAAAAGGTGTCAGGTATTAAGGTAAACTTCAAAATCCAAATAGCTTTGAGTTACTCCTGTCTGTTCTCTCCCTGAAGTTTGTCTTGAATTAACTTTTATAATACTGTGTCAGCCTTTTGTTGGGGAGGGTATTATCTTACAAGAGTTTTATTTGCATCCTCAGAAAGATATTTTGATATGAAGAAGAACCAGTGCAAAGAAGGCTTGGATATTTACAAAAAATTTCTAGCCAGAATGACCAAATTGTCAGAATTCCTCAAAGTAGCAGAGGTAAATAAATCTACATCTGTGGAAAGGATCTAATTTAGCTGTCTGTACTGGTACAGTATCAATATTCATAAAAACAACTTCACAAAGATTCCTGTACAGTGAAGTATTCTACAGATTAGGTATTTTAAAGATTGTATACACTCATTAACATGAGATGAGATTCTTGGGTATCCTTTTTTTATTAGACAGAGAAGAACATAGTAAATTTTCCGAAGTGTTGATACAAATTTTATGAACAGTCCAAAAGTATAAACTTAATGTTACAGTCTATTTACAGTGCCCTCCTTTAATGTAACTGCTAAAAAATCTAGTTGCAGTAAGCAATGTGGGTGTTTCTAATGATCCCAGTAGACTTTTCTGCATGAAAGTCAGGCAGGATGAAAAGTTGGGTTTGCCTTGAGATGCACTATAACGCACTTGTGATGTCTGAGATGTGTTCCTAGTGGAACTTGTACCAGTTCAGAAAGTTGTGAATATCCCTTTTTAAATCTTAGTTTCTATGTAACATTCAGATATTGCTGGGGTTTATTTTCATTGCCACTGCATGTATTAATGTACTTTTTTTCTTTGTTTTTTGTAAACCCAGCAAGTTGGAATTGATCAGGGTGACATTCCAGATCTTACTCAGGTCAGTATACACAGTATATTGATTAACCCAACTGTTTTGTTCTCTGTGTTTTTAAGAGGTTGGTGTGTGTCATAGTAATGATTCTTCTTGAGACTATATTCCCTTCTATGTATTTATATATGGGACATGTGTTTAGTAACTTTTACCATGCATTAAATGTACTCAAACTTTGAAGCTCTTAATAAGCTTTTTTTTTTTTTTGATTATTTAAAGCAATAAAACTCACAGAAAATATTTTTCAAGAACTTCTATTTTTTTTTTCACAGAGGATCCCTGGCAAGGTAAGCCACAAACATCTTGCCATGCCTAGAGGAAAACCTTCCATTTCACTGTAACTTAATGTCTTCCAGCACACTCAAAGCTTACAGTTAGTTCAGTCAAGAATTTTTTCTGTCCCCTGAGGTCTGAATAAATTGGATGTTTCTATATCAGCACTCAGTTCCAGCTTCACTATTACTCAGTGTATGAGGGATGTGCACAGTGTAGGTTGTGTGCTGGGAAACTTACCCTGAAAGGTGGAGTGCAGGGAAACACCTTCCAGGGAGGATAAACTGAGGGGCAGAAGGGAGGTGAAAAAGATGGTGTGACCTGCTGAAAGGAAACAGTGACAGTCCACAGCAATGAACAAAGGGGTTCTTTGTGAGCTCCCTCAGCTCACAGGGATGGTGTATTTCTCACGTAGGGCCAACCCAACAGCACAGAGGTGTTTGTCATTATTTCTGCAGTGCAGGGCAACCTGATGGGTGGAATGAAGAGCCACCTGTCAGGACACTGGGGCAATAAACTGGAGTGTCTTAGAGCTCTAGAGTACTCGAGCTCTTTAAGTGGAGTCACTGAGAAACAGTAAAAATTTAATGCGTAAGCTTTGAACAGTCACAGCTAATCCTGCACCACCTTCATGAAATTAAATTTTGTGGGTCAATCATGTAAAAATGTATGTAGTGTGAAGATTTGCCTAAACTTCGGTGTCTTTTTAATGTGGAAATCAAATCTAAACCACAAGCTTCCATTGTTAGTGGTATTCATTACTGCCTACATATGATTTCGATCTGAAACCATACATGCTTCAAAGTACAAATCTCTAATGTTTGCTCCTAGCAATTTATATTAATCCCATCAAGAACTTCTAGGCCTTTTTGGTAGGAAAGAAACATGACTGTAACCATCAGGGTAAGAGCAGGTAATGAGTGAAAACAGTAGTTTGATGTTTTCTGTTGGTGTTTGATCTTAGCATCTTACTTCGTCTGTTGATTAGTAGTGCAGTATTCAGCTGGTCTGTATTATGCTAATCACATTATACTCAAGTCTGAAGTTATTTATACCTCACTGGGTTTGTGTGCACTTGTCCACTTAACTGGGTCATTATAAGGCTCTTGAAAGCAGGTAGGGTTTCTTTATTTACTGAGAATAGGGGGATTTAACTTAACATTTTATTTCTAATGCCTCAGCTGTTTTGTTGTAAGTGCACTTACATGACAGAGGCAACTTTGAACTGGTGGTAGACATCAGCATCCTGTGTATTTTGGCAATTTCAGTTCCACTGTTAAGCCTTCCACTTACATAGAAAATTTCATGACATTTAACATGAGTTAAGTAATTGTACATCCATTTAGTGCCACATTAAAAAGATTTGCTAGAATCTCTTAATAGTGCCATTTTGCCTGCTCCTATAAAGAAAATGTTTTTCTTTGTAGATGCCCTGTTTCACAGTGATGTTGCTTGCGTTCTGTTTATAGCTGTTACTGTATTTCATGAATGTAACTGGATCATTTCCCTCTGTATGGATGTTAGTCTGTCAGATGTCTTTCTGTGGGGGGAGGGAGGCTGAATCATAAAATACAGCATTTCTCATGTCATAATGCCTGTATGAGCCCAGGCATCTTTTCTGACATAAAACTACTCTGTTCACTCAAAATTTGATGTTTTGTTGGATGTGTGCAGCAATAAGAAAGTTCAGAGGAGGTTTGTTGGGTTTAGTTCTTGTGGTTGAGGGGGTCGTTTAGAGGGTTTTAGAAATAGTAAGTATAGAATGTGCTTTTCCATACAAATAAGTTTTAGAGTGACCTTGGGAGAAAAAAAGATTTCTGGAATTAGGGCATAGGCTTCTGTTATTATCGGTATAGTTGTGCCACGCAATGCCTTTTGCAAACTTTTGTGCCTCCTAAAAGGTAAAAGTATGGAGGGGTGATTTTGTTTGTTTGTTTTTTGTTTTTTGGGTTTTTTTTTGGTTCTGATACCTTTCCAGAACGGTATTTCAAAATGTCCCCCTTGGGGTTTGGCTGTCTAGGTCAAACACCAAATTTATTCATGACCTGTTGTTGAAGTAGCTACACTGTCTTATGTCTTAGCTTACCTAGCTCTACTTAAATACAAGCTCAGACCTTAATTTTAAGACAAGAAGTTTTATAGGATTATTCTAAGTACTTTTTTTTCCCCCTCCATCTCTCAATTCATCTAGCTTGAATTGGCCTTCACTGGACTCTAGAATTGTGCTCATTATTTCAAAGGGGAGCTTGCCAAAACCTTGTGTAAATAATATTTTTCCTCTTTCCAGGAAATTACTTGATCTAACTTTTGGTACAGAAGGGCTACACAAGGGCAAGCTTGTTTTTCCTGCAAACAATGCCTGTCATATCTGTTTTAGCTATTGAAAGTTGGCAAGTGGTAAGAGAGGCTTTAATGTCTCTGAAACCCTGCCAGGTGAGGAGGACTGAGCTGGCAAGTAGATTAAAACTTGAGAGGTCCATTCCTTTCATCTGAATCTGCAGTAGGATTTATTTCACTTGGAGTAATTGAGTTGGCTTATTGTATATTTACATGTGGAACAGCTACTCAGTCTGCAGTAGTATTGTTGGGATCAGGTTGAATTTGGTTCCCTATTTTATCAAACCCAACATCCTGCTGTAGTCAGGTGTTTCTGCTATAAGCCTTTGACTGTAAATACTCGAGTGAAGACTGGCTGGCTTTTTGTTGTTACATGAGAAAGGAGATCAAAAATACCAAGTCTTTGTTTTGGGACTTCTTTGAGTTCAGGGGAGTACTGCTTAATCAGCTGTGGTTATTCAGTTAATCTTAACCTAGCAAATACTGTTGCCAAAACCAAAGATGCAGCTTGCATGTGCAGAAGGCAGCCTGTTCTGGGGGAATCCTTCCTTCATGTCTCTGTGTCCCACTCCTTTTAAAGAACCACTACTGAGTGGATAGGATCTGGATGTGCAGGGTGGTAGCAAAACCCAAGGGCACAATTATTCATGTGTAAGTTTTTATTTGTTTTTCATGGGTGAGAAAACTCATCTGTGTGCTAAACAATGAGGTGTTGATTAGAAGCAATGTTTTATAAATACTTTTAATTTTAGGCACCCAGTAGCTTGCTTGAGGCACTGGAACAGCATTTGGCTTCTGTGGAGGGAAAGAAAACAAAAGAAGTCTCTGCTGCCAGCAGGTGAGCACCCAATGAATTACAACAGTGCCAATACTTAATATTTGTCAGGATTCAGTCACTTAGTATTCTTGAATTCTATTCACTTCTGAATATCTCTTCCTAGAAATATAAATGAAGCATCTAGTGGATATTAGTCTGATAGCTTAGCCATGTTTGAAATCTAGGCATGACTGCATGTCACTACAGCCTGATTATGCTGCAACAAATCACTGAGCCGAGACCTTGTATATTATTCCTTTTAGCTTTTACTTGTTTGAAGTCCTTTGATTTGTAAGATTTCTAAGGTATTTGAATTTTGATATCCTTCTTTCCCAATCAGATGGTATTTATCTTTATTGTCAATTGTCTACCTTTCAGACCATGAATTTATGTTAACCTGCTCATAAAAGCTCTTCAGTCCCTTCTCAGAACAGCCAAATTAGCTTAGATGTTCTGTGCTGACAGAAATTGTTATTCTTTCTGTCAAGAACGGTGTCAGTATTGTATGAACAGTACTTCTGACTGAAGAGTGAGAGATCTCTTTTGGTACAGACATTCCCACACAGAAATTTGGTAAATATTGATAAATGTATCAGTGTGAACTACATTCCTGAGTTACATTCTCTTCAGATTTTTTTTTTTTGCTCAAAAATTTGAGGATTTGCTGCCACAGGATTCTGCTCAAGTGTGTACTAAATAGGGAATAACTCTTGTGCTTTGATTGCTGTTATATAATGTACAAACAAGCTTCCTGTGCCTCTGCCATTTGAATAACATTCCAGTCTAGTCTAGATGACTTTAAAGAAAAAAAGACAACTGGTATGTTCCACATTTTCCAGTTCCTACCCACTGAAACCTGATGATTGATTTTGTATACTCCTGCTGCTTTGTCACCAAACCCTGTTGTTGAGCTTTTTTGTACCAGAGAGTAAAGGAAGAAGTGACTGGGGGGAGAATGGCACACGACTAGATAAGGCATTTGATCATTAAACTGGAAGTGATGTATACCTGATTTAGTTTTTTTAATAACTAAATTTTTTTTAATTATTACTTTTTTAGAGCTAGTGCCCTATCCAGTGCTGTTTCCTCACTTGCCAATACAGGAATGTCATTCAGCAGGATGGATGAGAAAGAAAAGCAGCAGGCATTGGAGGAGGAACAAGTTAGACTGCAGGCCCTGAAGGTATGATGTTTTTAACAAGTTCTGTTTTCCAAGATTTTTTTGTTTTGAATACAGGTTAGCATAAGAGAGGTGAGGAAGCTTGCAAGGTCACTCAGAGAGGAACATCAGCTGTGTATAACATACACCTGGGCTTTGACCTGTGCTATATCAATGCAGTGGACATATCTAGAGTAATGAGGGATGTAAACCTGAAATTAGTGTAGACAAGATTATTCTGTTGCCAGCTTAAGAGCAACACCACCTGGATATTAGTGGGATGTACATTTTCACTGATTTCTGAACGTCTGAATTGAACTATGAAGATCCATAAAGTAGGGAGATGCATCTTCCTGAGCAAAGGTCCACTGGCCTGTTTCTCTGAGTGGCTCTGGAGGGTATCTAGACTGTAGCTTGACTAGAAGTGGTTTACTTCTAGGCAGGTGTGGATAGCTTAAAAAATAATTATTTAAAATATCAAGTCTCACCTTGATTTTAAATTACAAATACTCTTTTATCTGTGATCTCAATTACTTTTCTATTTTCAGAAGAATAACTTTACAGAAGAATAGCTTTTATTTAATAAGGCCATAATTAAAACTTCTTCTTGGAAAAGATGTTTAGGACTGAATGGTTAATAAATTAATAAGACTAAAATCCCAACTGTCTATCTCATCTTTCAGGAGCAGCGATTAAGAGAGATTTCTGTGGTATCAAATTCCACTTCCACATCAGCATCCCCAAGCACTTTATCAGGAAAAAGTGTGAATACCACTGTAGCTGTTGACCTCTTTGCTGCACCAGCACCCACAACAAATAGGTGAGAGATACTTTGCTTTCTGAAGGAAGCAGAAATTACTGCAGTGCCCTGTAGCTCCACAATGGCTGTAAAGCACCAATCCTAGTTACTTGTCAAGTACCTTTTGCTGATGCATTCTTTGGGTATGTTAAATGCTAAATTATGAGGGTTTGTACCACTGTTATTGATGGGCTGTTAGTGAATAAGAGAAAATGAGATTGGTGTGAGTGTTCATGTAACACAAGAACATAATGCCTGTTATGTATCTTCATATTTCTCTCTCTCTCATTTCTTATTCAGCATGCCCAACCTTTCTAGTGATCTTTTTGATCTTCAGCCTGCATTTGTTCCAACTGTGCAGAGTACTCCAGCTATATCAACATCAGCAAGCAGTGCTTGGGGAGGTGAGCTCATACCTTGATTTGACTGTGTTAGTGATGGGTGACTTCTTAGAATACAGGAAGAAAATACAGGATCAATACTTAATTGAATCCGCATCTTAAGTGTTAATTACTCTGCATCCAAACATTTGTGTTCTTGACAAAACATAAAGTAAATCTGAAAGCTCTGGCAGACTTTCTTTAACATGTAGCAGCAGTGTTGATGTCCAGTAGATGGAATGAAGGAGCCCTTCAATAAAGGCCAGAAAAAGTGTAACTAAAAGTCAAAGTGTAAAAATGCTGGGAAATATAAACTAAGCAAATGTAACTGAAAAGATGCTGGACTAGTATTTCCATTTCATTAAGCAATATTTAATATACTTTTCATTTAAAAGGTACTGCTAACTTCAAAGTTCTTGTAATAAAGCTGTGTATCCTAGTTTCTTGGGCACAGCATTCTCTGTACCCTCACCCATCCTTCCAAAGAATGATCAGATGTCAAAGAAATGGCTCAAATGCCTAAAGAAGGCAATGTTAACACCATGGTAAATGTTGATATTTTAATAGGTGGACTTGATAACCTTATGTGCTATTTAAAAGATAGATTATTGAAGCCAAAAATGTAGTATCTAACTTCTTTGATTGATACATGTTCTGTCATTCTCCCCTTCCCATCCAATGATAACACTAGAATTATTTTCCCTAAATAGAGAGAGCTATTAGGATTTTTATCTGAAACTAAGAATTTGTATCTAAATAAGCTGATCACAAGGGGTAATATATACAATTTGACTTTGTCTAGAAATTCTCATATTTCAATCATTTCAGTCTGTTTTTCTTTTCCATTATTTGTACTCTGTATTCTTTCCTTCACTTCTGCATCTGAAAGGTCCTTTCTCGTCTTCAAATGGTTGTCTTGGTTCTCCACCTCATCTGGACATCTTTGACATGAAGCCAGTTGAAGAAGCTGTAAAATCTGCCACCCCTTTCATCAATTCTTCTTTTTCTTCCAAACAAACGGTGGAACTATTTAGTGGTAAAAAACCAAACAAACCCCATGTAATTTATTTGCAACTGGAGATAATAATAATGCTGATAAAAGTGGGCCATGTAATCTTCTTGTGGTTTGAGCCAATTTTCACTTTTGATTAAGAAGTGAAAATGGTGCATTAATTCCAGGTGTAGTAAATTATATGTTTCCTTAAACTTTTATTTCTGTAGTTGAAATAAATTATTATTTTGTTCAGTTTGCCCAACATAGATGTCCTAAGACTTGCAGTGTTGCTGGAATTTCTGCAGATTTCTTTCAAACTGCATCCTCCTTTCTCTTTTGTAATGGGGAATGCAGGAGTTTACTTGGCTCTTCAAATCTGTAAAATAAAAAAATCTTTTTATAATATTTAAGATTTTTAATTTTTAAGTCCAGAGTTAGTTCTTGCGTCTCCTCTTCCTTTTTCTCTTTAAAACTGATCTTGTTTTCTTCTCTCTTTTTACGAAGATGACTTTAGTGGTCATAAACCTACATATGCTTCTGTGTATCATCCTCTGACTGTTGATGGTAATTTAATTTTTTTGGTTTTGTTTTTTTTTTTTTTTTAAACTTTCTGGTTTCACTGTATTTAGTGGTGTTACTTCAGGGGTGTATTTCATTACTCAACTCTTTTTTTTCAGGTTTCCCTCTTCATTCAGCTCCTCCAAGTACCACCTCTTCAACAATTAATGTGGACTTTGATGCTGTTTTTGGAGCAAAATCTTCAGCACCAGAGTACAGGACTGCAAGTGGTAAAAACTGGCTTATGACTAATTTATACCCTACAGGCAACAGTTGCTTAACAATTTAGCATAATTGCTATTGCAGTTCAAAATTTAATAACTTAATATATTTGCAAGGTGATTATGGGCCTGATAAGAGGCAATCAGTTCAGTTGTAGTTATTTGCTTTAAAATAACTGTGACTAATTTCATCCATTGTGTAATAATGGTTTCCTCTCTTTCTGGGGGAGCGAACTTTGAACGTGACCCACTGGATCTCCCTTAATGGGTAAGCTCATGTTCCTTTGTTTTCAGTGCTTAGGACTTCAGTGTTTTTTCTTGCTACATGATGATGAGTTCCCTCTGACTCCACTGAGAGGCATTGTGCTTGCAGAAATGCAAAACTAAGTGTGTGTGTGTGTTGCTTGAAGAATATCTGAGTTACAATCTTGGTCTTCTATATAGTAAAGGAGCTCTTGTGTACATTCAGGATACTGGCAGTATCATGAAAGTACCACTGTATTGAAACTAACTTTAACAATCCCATTTCTTCTGCAGTTTTAGAGGAGATTTGTCTTATTTTGAAAATGACATTAGTGTCTGTTGAAGTACAATTAAAGATTTTACTGGATTTGTAGCTACAATATAGTATTTCATAAAAAACTAAGAGGTTAAACTCTGCTTCTGTCCAAGTCTTAGACACTTCCAGCATGTTGAACCTCCACATAAAACTACTCAAATTACTTAGTGTTCTGTAAAGAAAATATCTCCCTGGATTATGGATGTCTTTTGTTTAAATGAAATGTAACCATTTTTGTTAACAGTTGCTTTTGTGCTCTTGGTTTAGCTTTTACCTTTCTAGATGATGTGTTGCAACCCACAGTACCACCACAAAGTCAAAGAGCCACTGTAGCCAGCCAGCAAAGTGGAAAAATTTTGGCAAATGACCTCGATTCTTCACTTGCTAATCTAGTGGGAAGTAAGTATGAATCTTTTAAAATTAACTTTCTTATTTGTTACTGAAAGCAAAACAAGCTTTTCCCCTTCAGAATTAAATATGTTTAAGGATTTTCTCTGTTTCTTTTCCCAAACAGATCTTGGCTTTGGAGGAACTCCATCCAAAAAGTAAGTGCATATATGTTTTTAGAGTGTTCTCACATGACTGTTTGATAGTCTCTGGCACAGATGACCAGCACTAACATGGCAAGAGTCTCAGGTCTTGAAATAATCTGAAATAATCAAAAACTGTATTGAAACAGTGTTTGTGGTCAGTCACCATAACACAGTCAACCTCAACTTTTGAAGTAGTTCACTTCAGTTTTGCAATTGTTGTATTTTTACTGAAGCATCGTGAAAGATCTTGCAGTTGCATCAAACTCCAGTTAACCATTGTGCCATACAGTGCAGTAATAATAGTTTACTTTTAACACAATCAGAACCCCCCAGACCTCATACTTACTGAAGCAGAGATACATAAGTAGTTACTGGAATCCTGAGTGTTTCTCCCACCCATAGATTTCAGCTGTGTACATGTATTTAAGCATGTTTTGGTTTCCCGTTATGTTGTTGTTACTCTTGCTGTTGTCCCCCTGTAAAAACTAATACCACAATTTCATTTTTAGGTCAGACATGCAGTGGTCCCAGCCTACAGAGAAAAAACTTACTGGTGGAACTAACTGGCAAGCAAAAACAAGCACATCAACCACATGGAACCCGACTCCCCTACCCACCATTCCACACATGGTAATTTCTGTACTATGAAATCACACTTCATTGTAGCAAATGTTGCTTCTCTGCTCGAAATAACTTCAAAAGAACAGCCAAGGTGTTTGGGACAAGACTGGTAGCAGGGGGGGGGAAGCTGGTAGGATCATGGAATCATGCAGAATGACATAGAGATTTTAGTATGCTTTATTTCCCTTCACTGTAAAACTTGTCCATTAAATATTTATGTCTCAAGGGAAAAGCTGATTACCTATCTCAGTTCATAAGTTCTTTTTGGATTGAAAAAAATTATCCCAATCCAGAATATTCCTGATGTGCATGTTTGAGATGCTCCCGCTCCCCTTCCCAGGCACATGTGCACACATACACATCCTAAGAATGTGTTTTAGGGGAAAACTGCTGTTCCTTCCAGTTTTTGCTCCTTTTTCAGTTTTATCACATGAAATACTGCTGCAACCCCTGTAAGGCACCTTAATCCTCAGGTCAAGCAGCACTTTGGACTTTTGATAATGCTCAAGAGCAGCTTCGTATTTTTAACACAGTACAAAATGCTGAGTGGATCCTTTACAGTTATTTAAATGAAGAGTTTTCATTTCTTGGAGGGATACTTGTAGGCAGCTGACTTTTCTTGTGCTTTTAGAAGAGATTTTTCAAGTATCTTGTATACATACAAATACAAACTTCTGAAACATAGCTGCCTTAGAGGGAAGTAGAATGTTCATCTCAGTTATATGTACAACTTAGGGTAATTACTACATTTGCTATGAATTTTGGACTGCTGTCTGACTGCATTTTGCAATAAGAATAGCTAACCTCTAATGCCTGTTTTCCTCATCTTACATGACTGTGCTCATTCAGAATTAGCAAAGTTGAGTAGAATATTACATCCAGTTTTGGACTCAAAAATGAGACTAAAAAATTTAGATGAGGGTGTCTCAGTTGTATGGCACTTTCATGTGAGTTTTTTTGAGACCACATCATCTCTTTAATCCCTCTTGATGCTCTAGAACATGTTGTTAGAGTACTGATGCAGTGTGGATTTGAAGTTTGTGGTTTTATTTCATGTGTTCATGTTTATTACTTTGTGGTCTAAGCATTTGAGTGTTTTGTGCCAGGTGTCTGCTCAGGCATTTACGTGGAACTCCAGCAATTGATGATGCACAGATCTAGCTCAGCTATGAGCACCTTTAGAATCTGTGCCCCAGTACTGAAAAGCTCTCCCTGTCATGGCTTGGCCTGTGGCATTCAGGGTACTAACCCTCCAGTTCATATATCACCTGCTTACTATTCCATAGCCAAGTGTTTTGTTTAGCACTCAGTTTCCAGTATAATTAGCACTGTTTAACAAAGTGTGGCAATATGAAGAGCATGCATCACTGTGCCTGTGAACATAACCTGATATAAGGCTTAAGATACTCTTCATTTTTCTTCTTCCATATTGTGATATGTTGCAGACATTAGATCTTGGTATGGGGCAACAGTCACATGACTAAACATCTGTTGCTATTTGCTTTTTAAGCGAAATGGTCACTGCCTTCCTTGTGTTTTTACTATGCCCTTCTCACACATAGTGGGAGGAAGAAGGAATATTTCATGCTGTGCCCTCTAAAAGCTTCTCACACACGTGCTTGTGCAAGGAATATACTCACATCTGGCTAGGTGTAGTAAAACTTCTAATTTTTCTGTAAGTCATACTAGTGGTACCTTTCTAAGCATAGTTACTGATGTTACTGTTCTTGCACTTTTTGTCCTCCCACTTTGATTGTTTTAATACATGAGTTGAGCATAGTTACAGACTTATGGTACTGGACTTGAATCCATCCCTTGGTTAGAATTTCCAGTTTGAATACCTATTAAATAATTTTCTGTCTTATCCTTTTGCTGTGCCAGAATGGAGTACACTATCCTGGATATGTAAGTTGATTTCTTGTAAATATGTTGGTTATTTCAAGTACTGAAAAAATGTCTTTTTCAAAGTTTTATATATAGTGCTAGTATGCATGAGTTTCTCTAAAATATATCAACATTTTCTTGATTGAAGGTACCTGCTCCTATCACATACCCATTGACCACACCTCAAGTGCCTGTATATGGAATGGTAAGAAATGTGATTGTTTTATATTCCTGAAAACTAAGTTTTCTCCTCCAGTGGGTTTCATGGCATGCATTATTATGTACAAACCATTCTGTAACTTCAGTATATTGACAATATTGTTTGAAATCTGATAGCTTTTTAACACCCTGCATTGAAAGAGATTACTCTAAATTTTATATAGCAGGTTTTTTAAAAGCTTTGACTTTACACTCTGTGTGTGTGTCTATATGCTTATTTTCTACTATAATTAAATGCAAAAAGAAGTATCTTGTGGAATTAGTTTGAATTTTATATACTTGTCTTGTGGGGGTTTTGTTTTTCTAACAGGTACCTCCTCAGGTTGGAGCTGCTCCTTTGATGGCACCCCAGTCAATGATGTATACACAGCCTGGTCTAAGGCCAACAAATCCTTTTGCACCTGTTTCTGAAACTCAGGTGAACGGTGTTCTTTAACCTTTGAAACTTTAGTCTTGGTAAAAGCAACTAAATACTTCATGAAGAGCTGCTGGTGTAATTCTGTGAAAGTGAGGGGCTCCTCAGCAGCTTTTGATGGTCAGGAGACAAATTCAGATATGAGATCATACAATTGCAGGAAGCAAGGAAGAAATTAGAAATGAGAGATTTAGTGGTTTATCTCTCACTGTGTCAATATTAAGAAATTGGGAGTGGTGAAGATCTGTAGGTTTCAGACTTCCTATGACATTAGCTGGATAGTTGGTTTAGTCATACTGACTAGAGCAGTGTTGAAAGCTTCCTGAAGGATCAAGGGATGGGGGAGTGAAAAAGGCTTGGACAGAGGTCATTGAAGCTGGAGAAACTGTGTATTCCTGTCATCCTGTCTCTCGGGGGTGTTTTAAAGTGCCAAAGCCTACAGACTTAACTTGTAAGTAACAAGGCAGTCAAATAGATTCATAATTCTGAAACAGAGAAAGCCTGTGTTATTTAAATGGCATTAATATGTTATCTCTGCTTCACAGATACAGTTTATGTAGAGCCACCAAAGCAACAAGATGTGAGAACAACCAAATACTGGTAAAAAAACGAAAAGACTGAATTTCAATCTTTCCATGATGTATTCCTGAACAGGGCAACTGTTTTTACCCTGTATAATACTATTTTGAATTGCAATGCTTTAGAGATTCTTGTTTATAACAGTCACTGCAGTGTGAAGTCATGTTTGTTCCCTGATTTTATTTTTTTTTTTTAAACTGCTCAGCAGAAAACTGTATTTTTGAGGTTGACTCAGAAGGTGCAAGCTGGATTATCATCTTCAAAGCCGAAGAGAAGGTTACATGATTGCTCTACAACCTTAATCATCAGTGGATGACCTTGGGAATTGACTGAGGATGTCAAAGCTATTTATTTTCTCCATAAATTCTGTGGCTGTTGTAACCAAGACACAACACAAATCAAGTTGAGCAATAAAATTTTTATGTGCTCTAATAAATACTCCGACAGAGCAATGCTTACATTATCATAAGGCCAATGTTGTGTGAAATCAGACAGCTTTTTCACATTAGAATAGCTTATAGTAATTTGCAAACTTTATAATGTGAGTTTGAAATGCTGTGAATCAACAAGACACATACTTATTACATATATATATATATATAGTAAAAATAACAAATTGCTCCATTGATATATCAGTGTTACAGGGGAGTTAAAAGAGCCGGGCTCTGATGTGGGCTGCAAGTCTGTGATGGAGGAGGGGAGACAAGTGTGTGACAGAACAGCACGTGCAGCCTGCAACAGGAGCTGCACTTCCATCAGGTACCTTCTCTGCAGGTGGCATCTTTCATCCTTCAAGGAAGAGTAGCTTTGGGAGCCAGTGCCTGTAGGTGTCCCCAGCCTCAGCACACGGGAGCAATCTCAAAATCCTGTTGCCAACTGCAATCGAGACAAGAGATCCAGTTCTTCTTTCTAAAGTCCATTAGGTCAAAAGACTCAAACCTTGCAGTCGTGCTGACACTTGTGAACTGGCAACTGGGAATTATCCAGCTGTAGAGAATAGCTTGTGCTGCTTTTTTGAAATAAGAACCTAGTTGTAAACCATATAAAGGTAATTATTTTTAAATGTGTAAATATGTGCAAACTTTTAGATAATCGTTTCTTTGATGCTGCAGTAATCTTTTTCTTCTGTAGTAATTTCAAGGTTCAAATGCTACGTTAAGAAATCCAGACTCTTTTTGAGAGGAAAATCTTTTAAATCAACTAATTTATGAGGTATTGCTGTTCACAATGGGTCAGATGTGTACAGACTTCTGGCACATCTTTTGTATTAAGGAATCTTCCTCCAGAACTGAAATTGGCTATGAAAATGCCTTATCTTGTATTTTTCACTGTCTGATAAAAAGCGATAGCATTAAAAAAATCCAATAGTTCTAATAAGTAGATGGAACTGGGAACAACCTTTCCTCCAGAAGTTTCATGGCAGAACACAATGAAAAGCTCTCCCATAAAATTACTTCTAATGATTAATATTAAAGCTGACTTTTCAAAAAATGAGTAGTTTTCTATTGTTACAGTAAATAGACCTCCAGAGTAGTAAGTCTTTTATCTTTTGGAGAGTCTGTAATTGCAGAAATGCCTCTGACTCTGACCACAAATGCAGGTAGGCCTGAGAATCTTGTCTAACTCTCTGGTAGAGAACTTCTAAATTACAGCATATTCCTCAAAGTGGGAACATGCCTTCTCTTTTTCCCAATGCTTAATTCTGTCCAAAGAGTGCAAAAGCAGTATCTCTTAACCCTATGGAAGTATTTTTGCCAAATGAAATAACATAAAATAAGCAAAATAAAACTCCACTCCCCAACCCTTGGAATCTGTAACTGCTGATTTCTTGGGAAATGTAACCTTGCAGAAATTTAAAACTCAAGAGTTCCTTGATTTTAAAAGAATTTGGACCAGTATATGGCAATTTAATGTTCAAGTTTGAATTACAAAGGGCTTCAAGCTTTAAACCACCTTTGCTGGGTTGAACAACTGTACCATTTTAAGCCAATGAGTTCTTCAGTGCCTATAGTTGCCCTCCACATGACGAGGGAATAGATGCCATTTAGAGTAAGTCATTGTGTTGAGGGGACTGTTCATTTAGGAAGTAATTGAATTCTATTGATTTATGCAGCAATGCAAAGTCTTGTGTTCAAATTAGACCAGTACATGTAGTTATAAATGTCTGGGCATTAGTGACAGAGGTGAGAGTGCTACAAGCAGGCAGTTCCATGCACTGTAAGCTGTTAGGTCTCCTTCTCATACTGAGTTGTATAAGTAATAATTAATTATTTTAATAAAATATGCAAATAAATGCCTGGCAAGCAGTATATATTTGTTATAACTTTATTGCAGAGCATTCTGAATATCTAGAATGTACTTGGCTCAGAAATGGATATAGTACTAGGTAATAGTTTGCACTACTTCTGATTTGCTCTGGATCTTTTTACTGGTTCTTTGGTTAGCTTTCTTGTAGCAAAGCTGTCTGATACCAATTTATTTAGTATTAAAAAAGGAGAAACAGCCACAAAGTACATTCTGAAAACTTTATAACCTACCTTCTTTTTAGTCTCCTTCACAGTGTTTGATACTTTGAAACACAGCATTCAGTTTGATCCCTGTGAAGGAAAGGTTGCTTCTCTCTGCACACGAGTGCACAGGACTGGGTTTTGCCAACCTCTTCCTCGTGCATGTATTGGAATGCATAAAATGGCAGAGTGTATGTTTCAATAACATAATTCATACATAAGAAGTGAAAACCAAGGACTTGGGATGCTGTCAAGGCTTTTATGGCTCAGAAAAAAACCACCCAACACTTTGAAGACCAAGGTTGTTCTTGAGGGGTGACTGTAACAGGCCAAGGAGCTGCAAATAGAAGTTATGATGAGTAAAACGATGAAGAGAGATGTATAGAAATGTGACTTTTCTTTGTTTGGTCAGAATCACATTGTGAACACTTCAAAAAGCAGGTAACTAAGATGTCTGCCTGAACAAGGAGGAAGACTCAAAGTACTCCATGGGCTTTGCATTATTGTGCTGTAGTGGGTCATTTGAGCCACACTGGTGGGAGCTGGTGCTGCTACAGACAGGCTGTCCATCATGGGATGCAACACAGGGTAACTTCTGGGGCAATTGGGAAAGGTGGATTGTGTGAGGCCTGTTGGACTTGAACATGTATCTCCTTTTAAATAACTGGGGTTTTCTAATGTTCTCTAGATATAGTTTGACTTTGCCTCCAAGAAGTTACTGATTTTTTTTTTTTATAAAAAATAATAATTTTGGACATGTGTACTAGAGAAATCTCAGTTCTGTGCCCAGTGGTGGAATATTTGTAGGTAAAAATAACAAATGGACTTTGGGTTTAGAAAAAACAACAACAACAACAACCAACAGCAAAAACCACACATACAAAAGTAACAACAACAAAACTTCTGACTGCCAGATTGAATACAGGGTGTATCCCCAGCTGGGTTTTTTGATGTGTGGCAGGGAGGGGGAGGGGTTTACAATTAGAATAGTAATGCACTGTGGATCGGTGCTTAATTTGTACATAAAAAGGAAAACTTTTTGTTTTGGGTAGTTTGTATTGTAAGGACAGCATCTAAAGGCACTGTGTATCAGTCATCTATTTCCATTTAAAAGATTATATTTTTGAGCAATGGAAACTGTACATGTTATCATTTATACATTACTGATAGGTAGGAATAGAGAAAACCTGTTGCTATGACTCTGAAGATGTATCTGACTTGTCATTGATCTGTACATTGCTGCATCACTACCTTATACAGATTCTCATGCTCATTTATTTAAGGAGATTGTAGTAACTGGTACAGTTACAACAGGAATTGTAACGTCAAAACTTTCAGTATATCTCAAATGTGTATCCTTGTAGTTAAGTTTAATCCTTTACCAAATGTTTGGCTGGAATTTCATCTTGGAGCAATGACACAATCGGTGCTGGAACAGATTTCCCTCACCCCAACCCACACTTTATTTATTTGATAGGTCTTGTTTTGTATGTTATGTTTTCCCCCATGACAGGTTTGTGCCTTTTATTGGATATTTATTTAAAAGGAGCGATAATTTAGGTTGCTTTTTTTCAGATGTATTCTTGTACAGCTGTTCCTTTATGTGAGTTCCTTCGTTTTATAAGAATACAGAATGTGTGGAATATACTAGCCACAAACTGGAAAAAAATTTTGAGGGTTTATGTTCTATGAATAATTTTTTTAAAAAGAAGCCTAAGCACAAGACTGGCTGTGTTGATATTTTAATTGTGGAACTTCACAATTTGTTAATACGTAAATTGTTTGTTTTTTAAAAACTGCTCATATCCAATTATTTGATGAAACAAGTTTTGGAAAAAAATAAACTTTGGCACATGCAAGATGTGTGTATGTGATTATTTTTCCATATGTTCGAGGGCTTAAGGCTGTAATGTTGATAATGGCTGAATTAGGGTGTTTGAGTGCCTCGCTATGCCTCTGCATTTACATTGAAGGGAAGGCTCCAGGGAGAACTTAGAGCCACTTCCATTTTCCACAGGGGCTCCAAGAGAGCTGGAGAGGGACTTGGGACAAGGTCCTGGAATAATGGGACACAGCAGAATGGCTTTAAACTGACAGAGGGCAGGGTTAGATTAGATATTGGGAAGAAACTCTTCCCTGTGAGGACGGTGAGGCCTTGGCACAGGTTGCCCAGAGAAGCTGTGGATGCCCCATCCCTGGAAGTGTTCCAGGCCAGGTTGGATGGGGCCTGGAGCTACCTTGTCTGGTGGAAAGCGTAGGCACCTAAAGAGTAGGACCTGCACAGAGGTGACCTCAGGCTCTCTGCTGAGGTGCCTTGACCACCACCAAGTTAAATGTTTGGCTTTCTCACCATTTCATACCCTGAAAGTCACAACAGCAGAGGAAGTGTAAAGGTTTTCATAGCTCTGTGTGTTACCCTGTAAGAAGTCTCAACACCAAAAAGCAGCAGCCTTAAAGACCGGTATTTTTAATAGTTGTGGTTTTGTTTCTGGAGGTTGCAGAGGTTTCAGTTGGGAGTTTGGGCTCGTTAATAGTTCATTCCTGTTGTGTGACAGCTGTGTCAGTGCCGAACGCCCGGAATCCACCACTGAACTGCCAGACCCTCATCCAGATCCATCCTCTCCTGCTCCCTCTCCCGCGCCTTCCTCGGCCCCGCCCCCTTTCCCAGCCGGCCAATGGGCGCCGTCCTTTGCGGAGCGCGGCCCCGCCCACCCCGACGCCGACGCCGCGCGCCCCTCCAAGACCGGCATCCAATGGGCGGCGGCGCGCGCGGCGCCGACGTGATGACGTTTGATCCGCCGCGTGCCGGCGCGGGGCGCGCGCGCAGCGTCGGTTCCCCAAGATGGCGGCGGCCGGAGGCGGCGAGGCGGCGGCGCAGGGCGGGCGGCGCGGCCCGCTCGGCATCCCCGAGGCGGCCTTCGTGGTGAGCGGGGACGGGCACCGGGCAGCCCCGAGGTGGCCGGGGCACGGGAGCTGAGCGCCGCCAGCTGGCCCCGGCCCCGTGAGGCGGCACCTCGGCGGGGTCGCGGCCTGGCGGGCGGGCGGTGCCCCCTCATGGCCTCAGCCCTGGGCATTTTCCTGTTTGCTCCCGGCCTGGTGGTGTTAAGCATTAATGCACTTTACGGGAAACTCGACCCCCGCGTTAGGCGTTACCGTGTATTTACACGGCCCGGCTCAGGGTGAGAGGCCACCCTGTCACTGTGCCCCGGTCCCTCCTCACCGGGCCCCCGCTGTGCCACCTCGGGCAGTGCGTGCTCCAGGCACCTTCCCCGCATCTGCCTCCCAGAGTCCCATGTGTGACTGCTGAGCAGATTCATCCTTCAGAAGGGACCATGTGTCCTTCTTGAAAACCAACAAATGTGTATCTTTCGGAAAACAGGCTGAACTTGTTTATCCAACTCTAAAAACTGATGTTCCAAGCATTTGATGATTCTCTTGACTGGCTGAAAAGGAGGAATCATTGGCTTGTGCAGTGATACAATCTCACAATTGTCTGCTGTTTGCGTTCTGCTGTGAGTAGGCTCTTGGTGCACCATCCTGATTGCTTCTTTATCTCATCTGATCAATAAGTATTGATCAGGGTGGCTGTCCCTGGCTGCCCTGGAAGTGTTGAGGTCTGTTCATTGTGCTGCTTTGTTACTGAGATGTTCTTGGACTTCGAAAATCTGCAGTTCTCAGATCTCTTATGTCTTTGGCAGAGCTGTTTGGACTGATCAGATCCGACTGCTTTTATAGAAATACGTAGGTTTGACCTGCACTGTGGTTTTCCAGGTGTAGTGCTTTTCCTTCCCAGGCATGGGGCCTCACCAGACACAGGGTACAGGACACTTGCTTTCAGTGCATCCAGATTCTCCCTTTCCTTTAAGGTTTTTCAGCAGTCATTGGGCTCTGGCAAATCTTACTGGGCTGTAAAACAATTGCTGCTTGCAGCAAACTTCCTTACAGCCCTTGTGGGACTGGCACAGACACAAGTGGAAGGGAAGGGCCGTGTCTTCAGCTGCCCTCTGAGACCTCACTGATCATGACAGAGGAGAACATGTGCTCTGTGTTGGCTCTGCAGTGGAGGTGCCACCCTGGCAGGAAACAGGAGTTAACCAAACACTTTGAGGGCATGTGTCACATCCCTCATTCTGTGCTGGTGGCTGTTGTTGCAGCTGCTGTGTTTGGTTCTATGTTGTTTCCTTCTCTTTTCTTTTCCTTCAGAACATTATATCCTGTCATGATGATAAAAACTTTCTCATCATTTGCTTGACATTTCCCCCAGCACACACTGCATGGGCTGTGTGAATCTTGTCTTCAGAGGTTTTCTGTGAGTGTCTTGGTTCCACAGAGGCTCTTCAAACAGTTTATGGCTGATGTCTTGTCTGAGCCATTGATCTGTGAATTCTTGTGCCTCTCCAGGTTTCAAGTGACGTTAAGCCCTGGCTCAGTGTTTTACTGGAGTCTTAAGAAACACTCCAGATAGAACTTCCAGCTCTGGTGGGTCTGAGCTGTAGCCCAGATGTTTCCAAACAAAAAGCCTTCTTTGTTCTGCCTTCTTCAGCAGGGGTGAGGATGCAAATCTGCAAACACGTGTCTCCTGTCTGTTCCCTGCACATGCCCACAGGTGCTGACAGCTCTGCAGAGGCAGTGCCTGCAGTGCTCTATTTGGGTCATCAGAAGATAACCATGGGCATGAGTGGGAATGTGCTTCCTGCTGCACTTCAAGGCTTTCACAGAGCAGTCCTGTGCCTTGGCTTGATGTTTGCAAAGACTGTGTAATAGCTACAGTACAAAACATGGTGTTTTGCCAGTGAATTTTCTTCCTAAAAAGATGGAGATGAGTTTTGGCAGGTCCTTGCAGAACCTGTAAGGTGATTCTGCAGTTGAGGTGCTGCAGGATATGTGACAAAGCAGGGAGCCTTGATGGCATTTACACCCAGCTGTGCCTCAGAGCTGTCCTGTCCAAGCTCAGCCTTGCAGGGGGAGGTGGGTCCAAAGCCTGACCAGCAGCCTTGGAAGCCCCAGCTGGAAAACCTGGAGGGTAAATCTGAGTCCACCTTGGATGGGGCATTATGCAGTGGAAGAAGATCACCAATCTGCAGGGGGCCTGGATCCACTTCCCAGCATCTTTGTTCCGTGGGGACGTGGGTTCTGTGTGTGCACACAGACTGAGCTGGGGCAGAGGGGGGTGCCAGGCAGGGGGCTGGGGGAGCTGAGCCCACTTGCCTTTGCTTTCTGCCTTGGGTGGTTCACACCAGCAGAGTCACTTCCACAAGAGGGACTTTCATTTCACAGTGTCCTCAGGCCTCACTTCTGTGACCCTTGCTTTCTTTGTTGGAACTTCTCTCCAAGCTTTATGAGGAGCAGGAATGCTTCCTGGGCTGTTGGTGGGGGGTAGCTCAAGGCATTCCTTGGGCAGTCTGGGGTGTGGTCTCTTGAGGTCAGATCTGCCACCTGGGCCATGCTGTCTGCTGCAGTCTGTGATGGAGTTTGTGTTTCTGCTGCAGATTTCCTTAATGATAAGGAAGGTGAGGACTTTTTACCAGACTCAGTAATTTCACAGTGAGTTTTTTTAGCCAAGAGTGACTCCAACTCCAACTCTAACTTTAGGAGTCTTAATGAGGGGAAGCAGCTGCATATCTGGTGTCGCTTTGGTAAGGTATTACAGTCTTTTTCTGATGTGAAACTTCTGGAATGGAGACTCTGAGTTCAAAAGGAGAAGCTGAAGAGGCCTGTGGTAGGACTTCCATGGGGTTTTACTGAGCTCTGCAGACAAATAAGGGCACAGTTACTGCAGTGGGTGAGTGGGGTCATCTTGAAATGTACACGGGTGAATGTTGGCAGGCCAGAAACACTCCGGCCTGATGTACCTTCCAGAGGCTGGGAACGTGTTCCCAGGCACATGAACTGCTTCCTGGGAGCCTGAAGGAGCTGCATGCCAAGGTCAGCATCCTTGGCAGGCTCAGGCCTGTCTTCTCTGGCAGCTTTTCCAGCTGATGGTAGGACTGGCTGGAGTTGTTCTCTAGAGGTTTCCATGGCTTCCTACTGACTGTAGAAGGAGCTTCTGAAGCCAACCTGTTCACTGTCACAGCACCTGCCTGAGCAGATACCCCAGTTTCCCCTCTTTGTGTCTTTCTCTGTCACAACATTCTTGATCAGGCCATGGTTCTTTTCCTTCTTCAGTTTTATCCTAAACAGCTCATAATCTGATTAGCCACGGAGAAGCATTATCCTGCCTTACAGGTAGGAAACCCAGGTTTAGCCATGCTCCCAGGACACCTGTCCCTGTTATCATTTGACATTGGCCAGGACTGAAAGCACCACTAACCAGGTACCAGCAAATACAGTTATGAAATTATGCTTAGTTCCCTACCAAAAAAGGAGTGTAGGGGGAAATTAAAAAGTGGCTAAGAAAGAAAACTAAATGACTGTGTACTCCACTCCAGAAAAAAAGTTGTCTATATAAAAACCCCTCTAGATGTAGCTGCAGTAAGATGATAACATGTCTGTGTCTAGGATTTCTGTAAAAGTTTTCTAACACTGAGGGTTTCTTTCTCCCCTTAAAGGAAGATGTAGATTCTTTTATGAAACAGCCTGGAAATGAGACAGCAGATGTAGTTCTTAAGAAGTTGGATGAGCAGTATCAGAAGTATAAATTTTTGGAACTTAATCTTGCTCAAAAGAAAAGGAGGTAAGTCATAATTTTTGCAGAATTGGGAAATGTTTAGCACAGTTCTGTTTGGGTTTTTTTAAATAAATCTAGTTTTTATTAAATATCCCGAGAAATAAAAAGGTGATAATAGGAGAGCTAATATTTATAGTACTTTTGGGAAAGCCCAGCTTTTTTCTTCCCTCTTCCTGAAAATTACATGTAAAA